ACTCAGTAAGCCCACATTGCTTTTGTAAAAAATGTTTTGTGTGCTATATTTGCCTTACAAATACAAGTCTAGTATAAGAGGAATGGGAGCTTGGTTACACATTGATACTTGAAATATGAATGCAAATATCAGTTCTTGTCTATCAATGCCAGAAATGTTGAAACAGGAATTTAAATGGAAAAAAATGTCCATACCTCTTCCTTCCATTTCTATTCACACATAATTTTGTTCTGATGGGAGGAAAAACACCCACTGTTTTGAAAAGGATACACATGGTGAGAATTCCTCTTTACGTTTGCAACTCCCAGTGCATTATTTTAATTCCCAAACATTGATCCCCATCTCTAAATCCAATGAGAGTGTTAAAAACTGCCACATCAGAGTTAGTATGAGTTACAAAACAACTTACATTTATATAGTGCCCTTCACACAGGGTAGTGTTTCAGAGTGCTTTATAAAACAGAATAGATGAGAAATAATAGGAAACACAAAAGGTTTTCTATTTTATTTTCTATTCACATATAACATAAATAGTCGCACTTTAAATCAGTAACAAAGAGATTACTACATTGAAGTGATGAACCTGGGAGCTGCACAGGACAAATTTCCTTCTTTTACACAGGATGTGGGCTGCTTCATTAATCTAGCATGTAAAGGCACAGTTTGCTGGCCCCTCGGACAAAGTACTGGAACGTTGCCTACACTTAAAAAACTGTACCTCAGCAGGAGTCAATGCTTTCAGAAGAGGAAGAGAAAGCCAGAAAAGTGGAAAAAATAACTGGCAACAAAAATGTCAGTTTTAGCACTGGTCTAATTCTGACACCTAGTGGAGTAAAACATAATGGAAAATAAATCAAACTGAGACTGAAAGGAATGGGAGGTTGGTTGCACACTGACACTTGATTATGAATGCATAATATTTGTTCTTCTTTATCAATCTCAGAAATTGTATCTGGGGGCAGCATTAAGCTTTGCCATGTCAGTGTTAACATGGGAAATATGCCACACAGTAAAGTTGCACATACCAGCAGATGGACAAAACTCTCTCAAAAAAATGGAATCTTTGGTTTTGTGAATAGGGGGATAGAATATAAAAGCAAAGCGGTAATGCTAAACTGGTATAAATCATAGTTAGACTGCAGTTAGCATATTATATCCAGTATTGGTTACCTCACTTTAGGAAAGACCATCAAGATGATAGAGGGGAGGTTTACTAGGGATGAGTGGATAGCCCTGTGTGGAGACTAGAGGAATGGGATTTTTTCTGCTGGAACAAAGGTAGAGGGGTAATCTGATTAAGATCTTTAAAATTCTACAGGGCTTTCATAGAGTCGATAGCAAGATATTATTTCCACTGATTGGCGTATCAGTAACTAGAGGGCCATCAATTTAACATGTTAGTAAATAAGCAAATGAATAATAATAATCCTTGCATTTGATATATCGCCTTATCAGGTCTTCGAGACATCTCAAAGCACTTTGTAGAATATACTGTGAAGTGAATTGAATAGGGGAAATGTGGCAACCAATTGCGCATGGCAGTGTCCCACAAATAGTTGTGGATTGAATGACTAAATTTTTTTTAATATATTTTTTGAAGGGATTATTACCCCCAGAAAAGCGATTCGCAAATTGACTAACTGGGTTCCTACTTACTCCTAGGTAACCAGAGATGTGCAGAGTAAGAAAACTTGCTTAACATTTCGGCCCGTTGGGGATTCAAACCTAGGTCCTTTCGCTTGCGAGACGAGTGTGATAACCACTATGCTACAGGACTCCTCTAATAGCACTATTCTGCTCTCAAACAGCATCATTAAATCATAGTTAGATTGCAGTTAGCATATTGTATCCAATATTAGTTATCTCACTTTAGGAAAGATATGAAGAGGTTAGGAGAATTTTTTTCACACACAGGAGTAGTTAGGGTGTAGAATGTCCTGCTGGGATCGGTGGTTGAGGCAGAATCTATAGTGGCCTTCAAGAGGGAACTAGACAAATACCTTAAAAAGAGTCAGCCAAAGGGATATGGGGTAAAGGCTGGTAAGTGGGACTGAAAGGATTGCTGTTGACAGAGCCGGCACAGGTACAATTGGCCAAATAGCCTTCTTCTGTGCTGTAAATTTCTTTGGTTCTTTGGTCTTAACCCTCCTCCTTCTTCACATTTAATAACTAATATCACAGCATACCATCCATCATTAACGATAGAATGCAACAATATAGGCCACCCATAGCAAATGTACATTTATGATCTGCTGCTTAGAACTGGCACATCACTTCAACAGATCTTTTGGCATGTGTAGTGTGAATTATCCAGTCAAATTATATTAAAAATTAATAGAGTCCCACAGAGAGTTGGAAAGCAGTTTCTGTAACTCACATCTCTACCCAATATCATCCAGTGATGGTCTGTTTCATAAAGGGCTCTGTTTTGTGTTGCTTTAATTACATGGAAATATGTTCCATGGGTGGATTACAAAGAACATCTGCATGTTGCTGAGCACTCTGATGTGCTCAGGTGTTATTGTCTTGTAATTCCTCTTCACAATATTATCATTTCATTAAAAGATTAATAAAACACATCTCTGCCCAGTTTTGTGCTTGATGTATTTCAGCACTGTTAGAACAAAAAAATTGTCCCACAATGTATTTCTGCACACATTGATCAAAGCCAATCTTTCTACACTTTGAACAAGAAAATATTTATTATCATAACGGACTGTGATCAGTGTTAAAGGATGACTGTGCAGCCAAACCGTTCTTCAGATAAGAATGTGAATATCTTTGTTTTAGCCCACGTCTATTAGACCAGTGTTTTCCAATGTAGCTGTAAAATGTTATTAGTTTTTAATTTAATCTAATTGAAGAGAGCCTCTTACAATATTCCGATTAACAATCCTCCACATAAAAATTGGTCGTTTATTTCTTGGCTCTTTATGGGACACGGCTGTGTGCAAATTGGCCGCTGTGTTTGCCTACAGATTAGTTACTTCACTTTATCATCTTTTTTACGCTAACACTATTATTAGATCTTCATCTAACGAATGATCAGCTGCTCCTCAGTCTTGTGCAATTGAAAATTACCTCAACCTCGGTTGTCGAAGTGAAATGCAGCAAACAAATAACTTGGGATCAGTATCTCTAAACATTGTGCCAAAGTTCAAAAGAAACCATAGCAAATACCAAAACTGTCTCAGTACCCCAATTGTTAAAAAACAATTGTGATCTGATCACTGGAATGCCCAGAAAGCAGGTATTCGGATTGACCCTTCCTCCTGTTGAGGGTAGTGCCTGGGTGTCACTCCACACCGCAATATGGGGAAATTGAACTACTTCCTAACCCTCAATTCTTCCACTTTTATTTTCTCTATATTCCAGTTGCACTTGCCCTCTGCCCCATGATCAGTAGGTATGCTCTCACTCCAAAGTTCCATCCTGTTAGGTTAGGTTATTGCCTGCTATCTGTCTGGTTGGTTGTTTTTGTCAAAGTAAACCAGATCTGTGAAACAATTTTAAAATATTTTTAACTCTTCAAGAGATGTAAAATCATACTAGACAACTGGCTTTCAGTCCAGTATCACCTACCTGCATTAGGTCTTTACCTTTACAGTGCCTTTATTTACCTTTATTTGGTTTATGAGAATATTAACTGTTTCCCAATCTAATTATTTATGCTTTTAGGATAAGTATTGAGATTGTGGTGACTCTCCAGACTCCAGTTAACAACAACAACAAAATTACACTTAGAGAACGCCTTTCACGTCGGGAATCAGCCCCTTCCCTCACCATGCTGGAAATTCTATCAAAGGCACTGCATGGGATGGTGGGGCCTCTGCCAATTTCTGATGTAATGCAAGAGTTTGCTAAGGAGACATTGCTAAGGCTGTTCATTTATCCATAAAGACAGCAGTCTATTTCAGTGTTCGGCTGCATACTTAAGCATTCGTGACAAGGCTCTTCGAATATAAAAAATTGATGTAGCATACTGACTTTATTGGATTTTATTTATACAGTAAGCCACAGTAGTGCTGCAATTTATTTGTAGTCAGCAGGGCAAATGTCATTTAATAATTGAAAATGAAAGGCCATTTGCACTTCTATATTCGTTAATCGTGTAGCTATGCAAAATCGAATGGACATTTATTCTAGCACTACAAGCAAAGCAAGTAAGCTTTAAAAAAGTCACCCCATTATTTTCAAGCTTATATATAGCTCACCACAAAAATCTTGTATAATAATAATTCTTGCATTTGATATAGCAGCTTATCATGTTGTTGAAGCATCTCAAAATGCTTGATAGGATATACTGTAAAGTGGATTGACTGTGAATTTTGCAGGCGAAACACAGCAGCCAGTTACACACAGCAATATCCCACAAATATCCATGGAATGAATAACCAATTTTATTTGGTGCATTATTGGCTAGGACACCAGGAGAAATTCCCAGTTTAACATCTCATCCAAAGGATGGCACCTCCAACAATGCAGCACACCACCAGCACTGCATGGAGTGTCAGCTTAAACTATGTGATTCCAAGTCTCAACATGGGGCTTGGAACACATGTCTTCTTAAATTTTCATATGAAACAAGACCAGAGAGATTGATCACTCAAGGGTAACTTATGCAACTATTCCTGACCCTTTTATCTTATTTCACATTACACAAATGCAGTACATTTTTATTCCATCCACTTACTTGAAACAAAAAAAACTTCTCTCACGAGCTTCAGTCCAAGATAAAGGCTATTTGCCTGTTCTGAACTCCTAAAAAGATTTTTAACTGAAGTGAAAACAGTTATAATATTCCACCAGTGATTCAAACACTGGTTCTGGATTTCGTTTAGATGTCAAGTCCATTTTGTCAGTGACTGTGAAAGGAGATTAACTTGTGAGTGAACAGATACGAGGTGGTCAGAGTGGTCTACAACACAAGCAATAATCTGACTGCATTCCACTAGGATAAACATCCCGCATGCCCAGCTCCGATCAGAACTGCAAATAAATTGGACATTGCTTATTTCTACTGGTCAAGAGTTACTTTCATGTCTGGCCGGCAGGGAGTGAATTTAACACATACCTTCAAGAAAAGTTAGTCGGTTGCAAATTTGAGTTTATAGTCAACAACACAGCAGATTGCAGATAGTAAATGTCTAGATTGAGCAAGGAAACAGTCACTCCTTGGTGCAAGAACAGAAGCCAGCAGCAAGACCATTCCTGCAAGATTTTTACCTACACAACATAGCTCAAAGAACTTCAATAGTGGATGTGTGATATCCATTGATGTAGCAAAGGTGTTGTTACACCTACGCAAGACAAATTGTTTTCAAAGCCCTTTAAAGTACTCATCATGAGAGAGAATAAAGGGTCTCTTCTGTCTCAAAAAAAGGAACTCCAATGACACCAACCTTTTTCCTTTCATCTCTGCTGATACAATAGCAGCCTCTAATAAAAGCCAAAAGTGACTCTGCACTGGCGGTATGTTTACTCCAGGTACCTTGGAGTGATTGATGAAGCTGTCAAGACATGGTGGTGGTAGATGAAAAACTTGGCTGCTGCTCAATGTTATCAAACCTAATCTAAAATATTTATTCCATCTCCTCCGGTACTTCAATCGCAATTTCAACACACTGCCAAGAAGGTGGCTTGACACACAGCCATAAATTCACATAGGCACTCATTGTCGAGGCAAAGATTTTCCATTTACATGCTTATGCTTTGGGTTAATTTAACAGAATGCTTCGATGAGGAATAATACATTTTAAAAAGAGGCATTTGGGCACAGTGTTAAAAAACCCACACACTGTTGATTGTTTTATTCACTTTCCTAGTCAATTCTAGCTAGGCACATCAATATTCAGCTTATTTTTGAAGCCTATAATTTTAAAATACATTTGGAGAGTTTAGGTGAGAAGGAATTCAGTTGTGCTCTCCATAACCTTATCTTTGATTGAGATTGCCAATACGAATAGAGTAAAAAAAAGGTAATCTTGCCATTCATAAAACAATCATTTTCTTCTAAATGCTCTTCTCTTCCCCCATTCTGCAACTTCTAAAGGTGCTTCGTGTTCATTCAGCTGAATGCTACAAGTGTACCCTTACTGTCACCTTTGAATAGTCAGGAACCACAGCAGACAGAGAACTGCAACGTGACTCAAACATTTAAAATGTCCTGAACTTTGCCAAGTCTTTCTCCATCGCAGTGTATTGTTCCTTCAGCCACTTATTAGCTTTGGTATGCTCTTCATCCACCTCTGCACTTTTGCGGTTCTGCTCTTTCAAAAAGGCCTCCCATTCACATTTGCGTCTCTCTCTGTTGGCTTGAAGCTTGTCATCCTTCAAGCAACAAAAGGAAGTATACGTTCAGACACATGTTAGCACATTTTGGAATTTCAGAAATGTAGTCCGAAGCCATGAACAAACAATTGCTGTTTTGTGTCCATGTCGAAGACGAATACACCGAAGTTACAAAAAAGTATTAATGTAAATCTAACTTAATAATAATAATATAATAATCCTTGCATTTGATATAGTGTTTTTCACGTCTTCTCGACGTCTCAAAGCGCTTCACAGAATATACTGTAAAGTGAATTGACCATATATTTGTGGGCGAAACGCGGTAGCCAATTGCGCACAGCAGTGTCCCACAAACAGTCATGGATTGAAAATGACCAATGTATTATTGTTTTTTTTTGGAGGGATTATTATTAGGCATGTGGAGTAAGGAAACTTGCCCAAGGTTTCGCCCTGCATGGAATTGAACTCAGGTCTCTCACTTGCAAAGCGAGTGCTCTAACCACTGAGCTACAGGACTCTAATGCTAGTACTTTGAGTTATGAGAATGATGGCAAAGTAATTATTTGCTATCGGAATAATCATGATAACTGTCAAGTTCTAACCCCTATATTAAAAGGGCATAAAGTACTCAGGGAACATTTCACTCAAACATTGAGAGAGAGGAGAGCAGATACATTATTCTGGGCACCACGTCATAGCAAGTGGCATGAACCTGATTCACAGCTTCATGTTGAAAAATGAAAACATTATTCATTTACTCACACTTTGTTCATGAGGACAGCATGAACGATTAACGATTTCAATTAACATTCATATAGTACCTTACATGTCACGAAGATGCCCATGTAAAATAGCCGACAAAAACACAGTTGGCTCGGAAACAGAACTGGGGGAAGGTTGAAAAGCTGGGTCTTAAAGCTGGTTTTGAAAATTGGCAGAGCAGGGACAAGGCAGAGAGACTCTGGGGTGGAGTTTCCAGACAAGCAGGCAGAATGGGTGAAAGCCTGCCCACTGATGGATCAGATGAGGGACAAGAAGCAGGATTGTTGGCCAAGGCACCTGGAGAAACTCCCTTCTCTTTTCATGTTGTACCATGGGAGCTTTAATGCCAATCGAAACTGCAGACAAGACCTTGGTTGAACGTCTAATCCAAAATAGAATACTTTCTTACCTTTAAAAACAATACTTTTTTGAAAACAAATCAGTTCCACATTGTCGTGTTGGCACCTCTAACAATGCAGCACACCCTCAGCATGGCATTGGTGCCAGCCTAAACCATGTTGGTTCAAAGTCCTGACTTGAGACTTGAACCTACAACCTTCTGACTCAGAGCAAGAATACTACCAACCGGTAGTATATTGTTTTTAAAGTACTCCCCCTAGGTACAGTTGAAAGAAAGTTGTTATAAACGTTTTGGTTGCTTGTAGAAAGAAATTCTCGCTGTCATGTAATACCTGGGATTTTCCTTCAACGACACCAGCTGTTAAGAGGACCAGGCTTCTGTGGTGTATGTGTACAGGAAGGAGTCAGTCATGCCCATGAAAACTGAACAGACATTCCAGGATGCAACAACAACAACAACAAGATTCCATTTATAAAGCGCCTTTCACGTCAGGGGGACGTCCCAAGGGGCTGCACAGTTGGGTCATGACCCGAGCAGGGGGGAAATGGTCAGGGTGAGGGGAGGGAAGGGAGGGAGCGAGGAGGGGGAAGAGAGTCGAGAGGGGAGCTGAAGGCACGGTCAAGGCAGCTGGTTCTCTCGTGTAACAGACGACAGCAATGGATCTATCATGGTTTAGTGCCTCACCTGGCAGGGCCTTTACCCACTAGACCTCTGGGGAGCTCCTCGAGACTATTAGTGCCAGATAATGGATAGAATTGGTTCATCAATTTCAATGACATAACATACTAGATCAGAACAAAGCTCGTCCTTCCCCCTACATGGTATATTTTGTCTACGCCAGCATCTGCTATCAATGCAAATCTTTCCTCTTCTCAAAGATTTGCCTAAACTCAAAACATCTCAATTGCCTTTTATAGATGGTTTAAAAAAAAGTAACGTGTTTTTGTATAACTTTAAAACTGTAGTTGCCAATGTTTGAAAAGTTACTTGATAAAATAACTTGTCGTAATATACATTGCAGATGTTTAAATGGGAGGCTGATTTTGCTGAGGATAACGTGAACCTGCGGCATTTACCTGTTGTGCCTCCTGCTCCCTCTGCTGGATTCTGTTCAGAATATGGTTTGCAGCATCCACTGACAACAGAACACAAGACAAGGAGCTGAAATTGGAGAAGTCAGCAACCATGGAAATCTAATGAACGAGTTTTGCAATCAAGTGAATGAAAGATTGCAAACTGATTTTAACAGAGCTTGCTTAATTTGCACATTACAACCATGTCTGCAGTCTGTCTATGATTACAGTGGTGAGACATCACCTTGTTGACGAGTATCAAGATAATAATAATCCCTCCAAAAAAACCAAAAAACAATAATAAAAAAAAATTGGTCATTTTCAATCTACGACTGTTTGTGGGACATTGCTGTGCGCAATTGGCTGCCGCGTTCGCCCACAAATATACAGTCAATTCACTTTACAGTGTGTTCTGTGAAGCGCTTTGGGACGTCCTCCCGACGTGAAAAGCGCTATATCAAATGCAAGGATTATTATTATTATTATTATTATTACTTGGTTTTCTCTAGAAAGCCGGAAACTTGCTGAGATACAGTATCACCAGGTGCCATTTCATGACTCATTCATTCATCAGTTAGTAATTCAAGGCAAGCTATTCAACCATGGCAGGTATCACAGGCTGACCCAATCCTAATTACAACAGCTTGCATTTATAGCATCCTTCACGCAGGATAGAAGAGTAATACCAGTTAATCTCAGAGCTGAAAAGCGAGGCATCTAAAGATGCCCAACTTCCGATCGTCAGGCAATTGCTGACATCATTTCCTACATGTTGCAGGCGTACGTGCCAGGCACTACTGATGTCACTTCCTTCTCAAAATAACAGCAGCAGCGCACTCTGACTCTCACTCCCGTTACATTTGTATAGCACCTTTCACATCAGGAGGACATCCCAAAGCACTGGACAGTCAAGGATAGCACCTGAGCTGAGGGTTGGGATCAGGAGGGGTGGAGGGTAGGGAGGGTGGGGGTAGGAGGATGTCCAAAGGGGCGATTGAAGAGGAAGATCTTGAGATGGGCTTTGAAGAAGGTAAGGGAAGGGACGAGGCAAAGAGACTGTGAGATGGAGTTCCAAACGAGGCCAGAAAGGCTGACAAAGGCAATGGTGACGTTAAGACACAGAAGTTGGGCATTTTGAACACGGGAAGCTGGCTAGTCAATGCTGGAACCTGGGTTACTGTGGGCCATGTCAGACACGTGCTATAAATAAGGCAGCACGATATGGAAAGGAGGCATAACAGTGTGCAAAAACATTTAAAAATAAACGTACATCTGGCAAGAACACTGGGAATGGTCTTGCTCATGGCCTCGCAATTCTTCGGAAGGGTCTTTTCACTGAGCTCCAGCACAAGATTGTTCACGTTCTCCAAACCTCTTCTCTCTCGAAACCCACGTTTCTCCTTCAAAACAACATTTAAAGGGATCAATTACATTCCGATGCTATGACACACTACAATGAACAGAGCAGACACAGGAGAGTCAAAATTAAGGAAGGAGCAAAGGCAGAACTGAAAACCTTGACTTACTGGGCACATAAAAGGTGTAACTCTAGCCCAGTAAAAATTTCACATGGAGTTAAAGATAATGATATGGACAAATATCAGTCTAAATTGTAGCAATTACTACAAATTGTACTTATATAGCACCATTCACACAGAATAACAATCTGGAAGTCCTATAGAGATGGGATTGGTATACATGTGAAAACTGACTCCTTGCCTATGGATGTTGTCACGAGGACCCAGAAGAGCCCTGCGGTTCATCTGAGAGGACAAACAGGGACAGGAAAAGACATGTGGTCGAGACAGGTAGGTGGGGAATCAAGAGAATGTGTCATCACACAAGGTGATTCAGAGAACAGAAACTATGAAGGCAGAACCAAAAAAAGAAAAACAGAAAAAACTGAAACCGAAAGGTCGAGCATGTCAAACAATGAGGAGGCGAGATAAAAGAGGAGATTGCAGCAAAAAGGCTGCCAGGAATTTTAGGAGGGGAGAAGATAATGAGGATCTTGAAGGAGAGGTAGGAAAGGTGGCAGAGAGTATAGTGGTCAGTAAGGTGCCAAAAAAATGTTACTGACCTCAAACTCCTTAACAAAAAAACGTATATCAGCCTGGATGATAGGTCTGTGGTCAAACAGCCTGGAGTGAATCTCACTCAAATCTGAAAATACAACAAAGAAAGGTCAGGAGGAGTTTTCAGGGGCTTCTGGTTGTCCACAACTTTAAAACGAGAAGCTCAAAATAGATACAGGCACACACTGATAAGCACAGACAAGCAGAGAGAGAGGTAGGCACAGACAGAAACACAGAGGCACAGAGAGACAGAGGCACGCAACAACAACTTGCATTTATATAGCGCCTTTCACGTGGGGTAGCGTCCCAGAGCGCTTGGCAGTGGCGGAGTCTGACGCCGAGCCAGGGTAAGAGGGAAGGGGGAGGTGATTGTATGCACAATCAAAAAGGAAGGTCTTTAAACGGGATTTGAAGGTGGGGGGGGGGGGGGCAAGGCAGAGGGTTGAAAGAGGGAGTTCCAGAGTTTCGGGGCGTAGTGGCTGAAAGCACAGCCACCGATGGTGGGGTGGACGGGGACGAGGGACAAACAGAAGGCCAAGGCGGTGGAGTAGGGGGCAAGCAGGTCGGATAAGTAGGGAGGTACCAGGGCATGAAGGAACTTGAAAACAAGTGAGAGGATCTTGAAATCAATCCGTTTGGTGACTGGGAGCCAGTGGAGCCTCCAAGCACTGGTGTGATGGAGGTATGGAGCTGTGGAGACCAGCGAGGAGGGAATTGGAATAGTCTAACCAGCTAAAAAAAACACCGAGCTTGCCACCGATATTGCTGTCCAGTAAACTTTCCTGCTGTTTGTCCAGCTCGGACCACCACCCACACTACCCATTAGGGCACAGGCACACACACACACACACACACACAGATACTGAGGCACACACGCACACACAACAACAACAACAAAATTACATTTGTATAGCGCCTTTCACATCGGGAGGACGTCCCAAGGCACACACACTGACAGAGACACACAGACACAGACACAGAGAGGCACACAGACAGAGGCACACAAGATACATACACACACACACAGACAGAGGCACACTGTGTGTCTATATGTGTATTTGTCTGTGTATTTGTGTGTATGTCTGTGTCAGTATATGTGTGTGTGTCAGTGTATCAAGTGTATTTGTGTGTCAGTGTGTGTGTGGGGTGTGTGTCTGTGTATCAGTGTGTCAGTGTGTGTGTGTGTGTCAGTGTTTTTGTGTGTCTGTGTGTGTGTCAGTATGTGTGTGTGTCAAGTTTATTTGTGTGTATTTGTGTGTCAGTGTGTGTGTGTCAGTGTGTCTATGTCAGTGTGTGTGTGTCAGTGTTTTTGTGTGTCTGTGTGTGTGTCAGTATGTGTGTGTGTCAAGTATATTTGTGTGTATTTGTGCCAGTTTATTTGTGTGTGTGTGTGTGTCAGGGTATTTGTGTGTATTTGTGTGTCAGTGTCAGTGTGTGTGTGTCAGTGTGTGTGTGTGCCAGTTTATTTGTGTGTGTGTGTGTGTGTCAGGGTATTTAATAATAATAATAATAATAATAATAATCCTTGCATTTGATATAGCGTTTTTCACGTCGGGAGGACGTCCCAAAGCGCTTCACAGAACACACTGTAAAGTGAATTGACTGTATATTTGTGGGCGAACGCGGCAGCCAATTGCGCACAGCAATGTCCCACAAACAGTCGTAGATTGAAAATGACCAATTTATTATTGTTTTGTTTTGGAGGGATTATTATTAGGCTCTGTGTGGAGTAAGGAAACTTGCCCAAGGTTTCGCCCTCTGCCTGGAATTGAACTCAGGTCTCTCACTTGCAAAGCGAGTGCTCTAACCACTGAGCTACAGGACTCCACACACTGGAGTGTGTCAGTGTGTCAGTGTGTCTGTGTCAGTGTGTCTGTGTCAGTGTGTGTGTGTCAGTGTGTCTATGTCAGTGTGTGTGTCAGTGTGTGTGTGTCAGTGTGTCTATGTCAGTGTGTGTGTCAGTGTGTGTGTGTCAGTGTGTCTATGTCAGTGTGTGTGTCAGTGTGTGTGTGTGTCAGTGTGTGTGTGTCAGTGTGTGTGTGTCAGTGTGTCTGTGTCAGTGCGTGTGTGTCAGTGTGTGTGTGTCAGTGTGTGTGTGTGTCAGTGTGTGTGTGTCAGTGTGTGTGTGTGTCAGTGTGTGTGTGTCAGTGTGTGTGTGTCAGTGTGTGTCAGTGTGTCTATGTCAGTGTGTGTGTGTCAGTGTGTGTGTGTGTCAGTGTGTGTGTGTGTCAGTGTGTGTGTGTCAGTGTGTCTATGTCAGTGTGTGTGTCAGTGCGTGTGTGTCAGTGTGTGTGTGTCAGTGTGTGTGTGTGTCAGTGTGTGTGTGTCAGTGTGTGTGTGTCAGTGTGTGTCAGTGTGTCTATGTCAGTGTGTGTGTGTCAGTGTGTGTGTGTGTCAGTGTGTGTGTGTGTCAGTGTGTGTGTGTCAGTGTGTCAGTGTGTGTGTGTGACAGTGTGTGTGTCAGTGTGTCTGTGTCAGTGTGTCTGTGTCAGTGTGTGTGTCAGTGTGTGTGTCAGTGTGTGTGTGTCAGTGTGTCTATGTCAGTGTGTCTGTGTCAGTGTGTGTGTGTCAGTGTGTGTGTGTCAGTGTGTCTATGTCAGTGTGTGTGTGTCAGTGTGTGTGTGTCAGTGTGTGTGTGTCAGTGTGTCTGTGTGTGTGTGTGTCAGTGTGTCTGTGTCAGTGTGTGTGTGTCAGTGTGTCTGTGTCAGTGTGTGTGTCAGTGTGTGTGTCAGTGTGTGTGTGTCAGTGTGTGTGTGTCAGTGTGTCTATGTCAGTGGGTGTGTGTCAGTGTGTCTATGTCAGTGTGTGTGTCAGTGTGTCTATGTCAGTGTGTGTGTGTCAGTGTGTGTGTGTCAGTGTGTCAGTGTGTGTGTGTGTGTCAGTGTGTGTGTGTCAGTGTGTGTGTGTCAGTGTGTGTGTGTCAGTGTGTCTATGTCAGTGTCTGTGTCAGTGTGTCTGTGTCAGTGTGTGTGTGTCAGTGTGTGTGTGTCAGTGTGTGTCAGTGTGTCTATGTCAGTGTGTGTGTGTCAGTGTGTGTGTGTCTGTGTCAGTGTGTGTGTGTCAGTGTGTGTGTGTCAGTGTGTGTGTGTCAGTGTGTGTGTGTCAGTGTGTCTATGTCAGTGTGTGTGTGTGTCAGTGTGTCAGTGTGTGTGTGTGTGTGTGTCAGTGTGTGTGTGTCAGTGTGTGTGTGTCAGTGTGTCTGTGTCAGTGTGTGTGTGTCAGTGTGTCTGTGTCAGTGTGTGTGTGTCAGTGTGTGTGTCAGTGTGTCTATGTCAGTGTGTGTGTCAGTGTGTCTGTGTCAGTGTGTGTGTGTCAGTGTGTGTGTGTCAGTGTGTCTGTGTCAGTGTGTGTGTGTCAGTGTGTGTGTGTCAGTGTGTCTATGTCAGTGTGTGTGTCAGTGTGTGTGTGTCAGTGTGTCTATGTCAGTGTGTGGTAGTGTGTGTGTGTAGTGTGTCTTGTCAGTGTGTGTGTGTGTCAGTGTGTCTATGTGTGTGTGTCAGTGTGTGTGTGTGTCAGTGTGTGTGTGTCAGTGTGTGTGTGTCAGTGTGTGTGTGTCAGTGCGTGTGTGTCAGTGTGTGTGTGTCAGTGTGTGTGTGTCAGTGTGTGTGTGTCAGTGTGTGTCAGTGTGTCTCAGTGTGTGTGTCAGTGTGTGTGTGTGTCAGTGTGTGTGTGTCAGTGTGTCAGTGTGTGTGTGTGACAGTGTGTGTGTGTCAGTGTGTCTGTGTCAGTGTGTCTGTGTCAGTGTGTGTGTCAGTGTGTGTGTCAGTGTGTGTGTGTCAGTGTGTCTATGTCAGTGTGTGTGTCAGTGTGTCTGTGTCAGTGTGTGTGTGTCAGTGTGTGTGTGTCAGTGTGTCTATGTCAGTGTGTGTGTGTCAGTGTGTGTGTGTCAGTGTGTCAGTGTGTGTGTGTGTGTCAGTGTGTGTGTGTCAGTGTGTCTGTGTCAGTGTGTGTGTGTCAGTGTGTCTGTGTCAGTGTGTGTGTGTCAGTGTGTGTGTCAGTGTGTGTGTGTCAGTGTGTCTATGTCAGTGGGTGTGTGTCAGTGGGTGTGTGTCATTGTGTCTATGTCAGTGTGTGTGTGTCAGTGTGTGTGTGTCAGTGTGTCTATGTCAGTGTGTGTGTCAGTGTGTGTGTGTGTCAGTGTGTGTGTGTCAGTGTGTGTGTGTCAGTGTGTGTGTGTCAGTGTGTCTATGTCAGTGTGTGTGTGTCAGTGTGTGTGTGTCAGTGTGTCAGTGTGTGTGTGTGTGTCAGTGTGTGTGTGTCAGTGTGTGTGTGTCAGTGTGTGTGTGTCAGTGTGTCTATGTCAGTGTCAGTGTGTCTGTGTCAGTGTGTGTGTGTCAGTGTGTGTGTGTCAGTGTGTGTGTGTCAGTGTGTGTGTCAGTGTGTGTGTGTCAGTGTGTGTGTGTCTGTGTCAGTGTGTGTGTGTCAGTGTGTGTGTGTCAGTGTGTGTGTGTCAGTGTGTGTGTGTCAGTGTGTGTGTCAGTGTGTGTGTGTGTCAGTGTGTCAGTGTGTGTGTGTGTGTGTCAGTGTGTGTGTGTCAGTGTGTCTGTGTCAGTGTGTGTGTGTCAGTGTGTCTGTGTCAGTGTGTGTGTGTCAGTGTGTGTGTCAGTGTGTCTATGTCAGTGTGTGTGTCAGTGTGTCTGTGTCAGTGTGTGTGTGTCAGTGTGTCAGTGTGTGTGTGTCAGTGTGTGTGTGTCAGTGTGTCTGTGTCAGTGTGTGTGTGTCAGTGTGTCTGTGTCAGTGTGTGTGTGTCAGTGTGTGTGTCAGTGTGTGTGTGTCAGTGTGTCTATGTCAGTGGGTGTGTGTCAGTGGGTGTGTGTCAGTGGGTGTGTGTGTCAGTGTGTGTGTGTGTCAGTGTGTGTGTGTGTCAGTGTGTGTGTGTGTCAGTGTGTGTGTGTCAGTGTGTGTGTGTCAGTGTGTGTGTGTCAGTGTGTCTGTGTCAGTGTGTGTGTGTCAGTGTGTGTGTGTCAGTGTGTGTGTGTGTCAGTGTGTGTGTCAGTGTTTGTGTCAGTGTGTGTCAGTGTGTCTATGTCAGTGGGTGTGTGTCAGTGTGTGTGTGTCAGTGTGTGTGTGTGTCAGTGTGTATGTGTGTCAGTGTGTGTGTGTCAGTGTGTCTATGTCAGTGTGTGTGTGTCAGTGTGTGTGTGTGTCAGTGTGTGTGTGTGTCAGTGTGTATGTGTGTCAGTGTGTGTGTGTGTCAGTGTGTCTATGTCAGTGTCAGTGTGTGTGTGTCAGTGTGTGTGTGTGTCAGTGTGTCTATGTCAGTGTGTGTGTGTCAGTGTCAGTGTGTCAGTATGTGTGTGTCAGTGTGTGTGTGTCAGTGTGTGTGTGTCAGTGTGTGTGTGTGTCAGTGTGTATGTGTGTCAGTGTGTGTGTGTGTCAGTGCGTCTATGTCAGTGTGTGTGTCAGTGCGTCTATGTCAGTGTGTGTGTGTCAGTGTGTGTGTGTCAGTGTGTGTCAGTGTCAGTGTGTGTGTGTGTCAGTGTGTGTGTGTGAGTGTATGTGGGAGTGTGTGTGTGTGAGTGGGTGGAGGGGAGTGTGTGTCAGTGTGTGTGTGTGTCAGTGTGTGTGTGTCAGTGTGTGTGTCAGTGTGTGTATGTCAGTGTGTGTGTGTCAGTGTGTGTGTGTCTGTGTGTGTGTCAGTGTGTGTGTGTCAGTGTGTGTGTGTCAGTGTGTGTGTGTCAGTGTGTGTCAGTGTGTGTGTGTCAGTGTGTGTGTGTCAGTGTGTGTGTGTCAGTGTGTGTGTGTCAGTGTGTGTGTCAGTGTGTGTGTCAGTGTGTGTGTGTCAGTGTGTGTGTGTCAGTGTGTGTGTGTCAGTGTGTGTGTCAGTGTGTGTGTGTCAGTGTGTGTGTGTCAGTGTGTGTGTGTCAGTGCGTCTATGTCAGTGTGTGTGTCAGTGTGTGTGTGTCTGTGTGTGTGTGTCTGTGTGTGTGTCAGTGTGTGTGTGTCAGTGCGTGTGTGTCAGTGTGTGTGTGTCTGTGTGTGTGTGTCTGTGTGTGTGTCAGTGTGTGTGTCAGTGTGTGTGTGTCTGTGTGTGTGTGTCTGTGTGTGTGTCAGTGTGTGTGTGTCAGTGTGTGTGTGTCTGTGTGTGTGTGTCTGTGTGTGTGTGTCAGTGTGTGTGTGTCAGTGTGTGTGTCAGTGTGTGTGTCAGTGCGTGTGTGTCAGTGCGTGTGTGTCAGTGTGTGTGTGTCAGTGTGTCTATGTCAGTGTGTGTGTTAGTGTGTGTGTGTCTGTGTGTGTGTCAGTGTGTGTGTGTGTCAGTGTGTGTGTGTCAGTGTGTGTTTCAGTGTGTGTGTCAGTGCGTGTGTGTCAGTGCGTGTGTGTCAGTGTGTGTGTGTCAGTGTGTCTATGTCAGTGTGTGTGTTAGTGTGTGTGTGTCTGTGTGTGTGTCAGTGTGTGTGTGTGTCAGTGTGTGTGTGAGTGGGTGAGTGGGTGAGTGTGTGGAGGGGAGTGTGTGTGTGAGTGGGAGTGTGTGTGTGTGGGTGAGTGGGTGGAGGGGAGTGTGTGTGTGTGTGTGTGAGTGGGTGAGTGTGTGGAGGGGAGTGTGTGTGTGTGTGTGAGTGGAGGGGAGTGTGTGTGTGTGTGAGTGGGTGAGTGTGTGGAGGGGAGTGTGTGTGTGTGTGTGGGTGGAGGGGAGTGTGTGTGGAGGGGAGTGTGTGTGTGTGAGTGGGTGAGTGGGTGGAGGGGAGTGTGTGGGGGTGAGTGGGTGAGTGGGTGGAGGGGAGAGTGTGTGTGTGAGTGGGTGTGGGTGTGTGTGTGAGTGGGAGTGTGTGGGGGTGTGTGGGTGAGTGTGTGGGGTGTGTGTGTGAGTGTGTGGAGGGGAGAGTGTGGGGGTGAGTGTGTGGAGGGGAGTGTGTGTGTGTGAGTGGGTGTGGGTGTGTGTGAGTGGGAGTGTGTGGGGGGTGTGTGGGTGAGTGTGTGGGGGTGTGTGTGTGAGTGTGTGGAGGGGAGAGTGTGGGGGTGAGTGTGTGGAGGGGAGTGTGTGTGTGTGAGTGGGTGTGGGTGTGGGTGTGTGTGAGTGGGAGTGTGTGGGGGGTGTGTGGGTGAGTGTGTGGAGGGGAGTGTGTGTGTGTGAGTGGGTGTGTGTGTGTGTGAGTGTGTGGGGGTGTGTGTGTGTGGGTGAGTGTGTGGAGGGGAGTGTGTGTGTGTGTGTGTGAGTGTGTGGGGGTGTGTGTGTGTGGGTGATTGTGTGGAGGGGAGTGTGTGTGTGTGTGTGTGAGTGTGTGGGGGGGTGTGTGTGTGGGTGAGTGTGTGGAGGGGAGTGTGTGTGTGTGAGTGGGTGTGTGTGTGAGTGTGTGTGTGTGTGTGTGGGGGTGTGTGTGTGTGGGAGTGTGTGGAGGGGAGTGTGTGGGGGTGTGTGTGTGTGGGTGAGTGTGTGGAGGGGAGTGTGTGTGTGTGTGAGTGTGTGGGTGTGTGTGTGTGTGGGTGAGTGTGTGGAGGGGAGTGTGTGTGTGTGAGTGGGAGTGTGTGGGGGTGTGTGTGTGTGGGTGAGTGTGTGGAGGGGAGTGTGTGTGTGAGTGTGTGGAGGGGAGTGTGTGTGGGAGTGTGTGGAGGGGAGTGTGTGTGGGAGTGTGTGGAGGGGAGTGTGTGTGTGTGTGTGTGAGTGTGTGGGGGTGTGTGTGTGTGGGTGAGTGTGTGGAGGGGAGTGTGTGTGTGTGAGTGGGAGTGTGTGGGGGTGTGTGTGTGTGTGAGTGTGTGGAGGGGAGTGTGTGTGTGGGGGTGTGTGTGAGTGTGTGGGGGTGTGTGTGTGTGTGAGTGTGTGGAGGGGAGTGTGTGTGTGTGTGTGTGTGAGTGTGTGGGGGTGTGTGTGTGTGTGAGTGTGTGGGGGTGTGTGTGTGTGTGTGTGTGAGTGTGTGGAGGGGAGTGTGTGTGTGTGAGTGGGAGTGTGTGGGGGTGTGTGTGTGTGTGAGTGTGTGGAGGGGAGTGTGTGTGGGAGTGTGTGGAGGGGAGTGTGTGTGTGTGGGTGTGAGTGTGTGGGGGTGTGTGTGTGTGGGTGAGTGTGTGGAGGGGAGTGTGTGTGGGAGTGTGTGGAGGGGAGTGTGTGTGTGTGAGTGGGAGTGTGTGGGGGTGTGTGTGTGTGTGAGTGTGTGGAGGGGAGTGTGTGTGGGAGTGTGTGGAGGGGAGTGTGTGTGTGTGGGTGTGAGTGTGTGTGTGTGGGAGTGTGTGGAGGGGAGTGTGTGTGGGAGTGTGTGGAGGGGAGTGTGTGTGTGTGGTGTGAGTGTGTGGGGGGTGTGTGTGTGGGTGAGTGTGTGGAGGGGAGTGTGTGTGGAGTGTGTGGAGGGGAGTGTGTGTGTGTGTGTGGGAGTGTGTGGGGGTGTGTGTGTGTGTGAGTGTGTGGGGGAGAGAGGGAGTGTGTGTGGGAGTGTGTGGAGGGAGTGTGTGTGTGTGTGTGGGAGTGTGTGTGTGTGGGAGTGTGTGGAGGGGAGTGTGTGTGGGAGTGTGTGGAGGGGAGTGTGTGTGTGTGTGTGTGAGTGTGTGGGGGTGTGTGTGTGTGGGTGAGTGTGTGGAGGGGAGTGTGTGTGTGTGAGTGGGAGTGTGTGGGGGTGTGTGTGTGTGTGAGTGTGTGGAGGGGAGTGTGTGTGTGTGAGTGGGAGTGTGTGGGGGTGTGGGAGTGTGTGTGTGTGGGAGTGTGTGGAGGGGAGTGTGTGTGTGTGAGTGGGAGTGTGTGGAGGGTGTGTGTGTGTGTGGGTGGAGGGGAGTGTGAGTGGAGGGGTGTGTGGGTGAGTGGGTGAGTGGGTGGAGGGGAGTGTGTGTGAGTGTGTGTGTGGGTGAGTGTGAGTGGGTGGAGGGGAGTGTGTGTGTGAGTGGGAGTGTGTGTGTGTGAGTGGGTGAGTGTGTGAGAGTGGGTGTGTGTGTGTGTGAGTGTGTGTGAGTGGGTGAGTGAGTGGAGGGGAGTGTGTGGGGGTGAGTGGGTGGAGGGGAGTGTGTGGGGGTGAGTGGGTGGAGGGGAGTGTGTGGGGGTGACAGAGAGAGGAGGGGAGTGTGTGGGGGTGACAGAGAGAGGAGGGGAGTGTGTGGGGGTGACAGAGAGAGGAGGGGAGTGTGTGGGGGTGAGTGGGTGGAGGGGAGTGTGTGGGGGTGAGTGGGTGGAGGGGAGTGTGTGTGAGTGGAGGTGAGTGTGTGTGTGTGTGGAGGTGAGTGTGTGTGAGTGGAGGTGAGTGTGTGTGAGTGGGTGAGTGGGTGGAGGGGAGTGTGTGGGGGTGAGTGGGTGAGTGAGTGGAGGGGAGTGTGTGGGGGTGAGTGGTGGTGTATAACTGACCTCTTCTGGTCTTCTCCATCCTCAGTCTGCGCTCTGTCAGCTGATCAGACACGTGCCCCCCCCCCCGCCCGCCGGAGCTGTAATGGACTGTCCCACCGTCTGATTGGGCAAAAACAAGGAAGGGAGGGGCGGAGTCTATTTGTAAGACGCTCCCGGATTGGCTATCTGATTATGTGATCTGCGCCCAGAAGAAGGCCTATGATTGGCTAGAGCGCAGCAGGCAAGACAAGGGCTGGCCACCAGGGGGCGTGGCACTGACTCACCCCCTCTGTCTGTCTGTCTGTCACTCAGTCAACCTCTGCAGCTCTCAGCTGCTTCACAGAAGCTCCTGTGCATCTGTGGTTTACGTCATGCAATGGGAGTGAAAGAGGAGTGATGCCAGGAGTGAGACCTCATAAACCACCCGCAGGAGTTATTACGCCAGTCATCTAAATTTAAAAATTTTTTTTTAATAAGTCCACGGCTGTTTGCGTCTCACTGCTACACTGCTGCGCACAACTGGCTGCCGCGCTGCGTCCACAGACCACAGCAATCACACCACTTAACAGCATATCTTGTGAGGCGTTTTGGGACGTCTCAACCACGTGATGAGGCTTTATCAAATGCAAGGATTATTATCATGTTATAATTACCCCCTGTGTGTCAGGCTGGCTCACTGGGTGCTAATCTCACCACGCTTGTGGGTTCAAAGTCCCACGTTAGAACAATAATATAATCCTTGCATTCGATAAAGCACTTTATCACATTGTCAAGACATCTCAAGGTGCTTCACATGATATACTGTTATATTGTATATATCGTGTGGGTGAACACGGCAGCTGATTTGAATCCAGCAATGTCCCACAAATGGCCATGGAGTGGGTGACCAGTTTAATTTGAGGATTGTTGGCCAGAAACTCTCTTCTCTTTTTGAATAGTGCCATAGGGATCTTTAATTTCCACCTGGACAAGCAGGAGGGACCTTGTTTTAATATCTCAGTCCTGTAGCTCAGTGGTTAGAGCACTCGCTTTGCAAGCGAGAGACCTGAGTTCAATTCCCGGCAGAGCGAAACCTTGGGCAAGTTTCCCCACTCCACACAGAGCCTAATAATAATCCCTCCAAAACCAAAAACAATAATAAAATTGGCATTTTCAATCTACGACTGTTTGTGGGACATTGCTGTGCGCAATTGGCTGCCGCGTTCGCCCACAAATATACAGTCAATTCACTTTACAGTGTGTTCTGTGAAGCGCTTTGGGACGTCCTCCCGACATGAAAAGCGCTATATCAAATGCAAGGATTATTATTATTATTATTATTATTATTATTATTATTATTATTATTATTATTATTATTATTATTATTATTATTATTATTATTATTATTATCATCATCTCATCCGAAGGACAGCAACTTCGACAATGCAGCACTCCCCCAGAACCACATTGGAGTGTCGTCTTATTCTATGTGGGTTCCAGGTCCTGACATGGACCTTGCACCCACAACCTTCTGACTCAGAGGTGAGAGTGCTACCAATCGAGCCAGACTGACATACACTGGGACTTCATAGTCATGTTCTAGGCTGACACTGCAGTGTGGTGCTGGAGGTGTGTTTCATTATCATAGATGCTGTCGTTTGAAAGAGACTTTAAAGGTCCTGACTGCCTGTTCAGGTGGATGTTAAAGATCCAATGACACTAATTGAAACGAAAAGGCAGTCTCTGTAAAAAAGAAAAACTATCCTCGTCCACATCCTCTCCTCCCTCATCCATCTCATGGGACTGCACTCACCTAGTTCGAGTCTTGCTTACCCAACCACCATCATTTTGTCTCCACAAAGGGTTACTCCTCCCATCCCCACAGAGTCACTTGCAGCGTACCCAAAGGCTCCATCCTTGGCATTCCCTTCTTTTCCTTATCCTCTCTATCAGCAATGTCATCCGCAGAATGGAGTAAACTTCCACATGTATGTGGATGACACACAAAACTATTTCTCCTCAATCAGCTGTAACTCCAGTTTCTCTGATATTCTGTCAGCTTGTCTGCTTCCTATGAAGTGCTTTGAAACATCTTGATGATGTGATAAAGCACAATGCACAATGCAAGGACTATTAATTATTATTTGCAGACAAATAGTTGAAACTTATAAAGAATAATCAGAAGATAAAATATACAGACAAAGAGATAAAATTAGCAAATTTTGATATCCCCTTCAATATGATTATGATCACTCACAGTGATTTGATATACAAGACCAATTGTAGCGCCGCAACTACTGCCCCGCTCAAATCAGCTCATTTAACACAAAGCATCAGAGTTGCTCTACGTAACACTGCAGTAGAACCATAGAAATCTATGGCCATTCAGACCATGTCTGCTCTGACTCCCTCAGGAGTCCCTCAATCGGTTCAGTCCCATTTAGTTGCCCTTTCCCCATACCTCTGTAACTGGCTCCTTTTAAGGTAAAAACGAATGTTATTCCTTACTGCAGTGAGAGGATGGACACAACTGAAGGTCACCTGAACGTTAGCATGTAATGTGGTCCTCTCACATTCAGTGAGAAAGCTACCTCCGCCTCTTACCCTAGTACATTCTCCCCAGATACACACTGTAACTATGGCCTGAAATTACTCCAACAGCACTTCACCTTCCTAGAAGATTATCCCTGCTATAATCTGTAAATTACTGCCAACTAATGGAATAGAGACCAAATTCAACTTTGATTAACAAAAAAAATCAACTGTAGAGAGTACAAAGTATTACATATTTCCCTCACTTACGCATCAAGATTCCTCTTAAATACATTGATACTTTTTGCTTGAATCACAGCATCCATCAGTGATTTCCACATTTTCATTCCTCTCTGTGTAAAGAGGTTCGTCGTAAAATCTCTTTTAAATCTGCCACTGGTTATCATATTTATGCCCCTTCAATTTAGTTATCAATATGTGGAAACAGTTTGCCAAGGACACTGCTGTGTGCAATTGGCTGCCACATTTCACCCACAAAATATACAGTCAATTCCCTTTACAATATATTCTGTGAAGATGCTTTGAGAAAGACGTGATAAGGTGCTATATGGATTATTATTGTTATTACTATCAACATCCACTTAATAAATCCTTTTCATAATGGTAAACACCTCTATTAGGTTCTCCTTCAATCATCTCATCGCCAGAGAGAAAAGCTCCAAATTGTCCATTAAGGAAGCACGTACTTCTGACTGGTGGGAATTCTAATTTGACTCAGTCTGGTTTGGGAGCGGAGATCCTGAGAGTTGATGTGATGTGCAAGGTGTACTTTTGGTTACCATAAGTAATTCGATGGGGATTTCTCCACCCAGAAATTGCTGCAAGGAAGACTCCAGGGTTACAAGTTGAGACTTAACAAAAATAATCTTAGTTACCGCTTTTGGGGGCCAAAAGATGCAAAATTAAACTGTAACACCCTAGGAATTTAAACTGCAGCCTCCAAATGTGCAGCATTCCACAGTGATAAGGGAGAACCCATAGAAATTACTCCCTAGGCATCAATGCTGATTAATTGGTTCAAGTTGGCCAAAATGGGACACAGAGGCATTGTTACAGTGAACACAATACCTTTGATTCAGCCCTCCGTGGGATTGGCAAGTTTTTTTTCACAAGCATTCAGGATAACACAATTCTTTTGACCAGGAGAGAAACTGAAAGGAAGAGGGTGTTTTTACAACGCTCCAATTTCTCACCCAATTAGTTGATCGACAGCATTTGAGGCATTACAATTGACCTTAGGGGAACAACTCCTCTGACTGCTATAGTGTACATTGACTGCTATAGTGTACATTGACTCTTGCTGGAAGACACACTAAGAAAGACCTGAGAGAAAATGTCATTTAGAATACCTTCTTTAAAAAAAATTTAAATTAAATATTCTTAATATTCAAACAATATCTGTGACCTGTGGTGAACCTGCTCTGAGGCAGTCCCAACCTTGCAAAGAAGGTTTCTGCTGCCCCGTGTGAGATTATCTATGGTAGTCACGCTCACGCCTTCTGTGAGCCAATGAAGTAATTTAGTAATTAAAAAAATCTCGAACCATAGGAAAGATTTTTTTAGACACACTAGGAAAGACCTGAGAGAAAATGTCATTTAGAATCACGCGTCCTTTGAGGCCTAATGGGATGGGGAGGATGGGCATTGCAGTGCAAACTCATTTTGATTGCAAATATCTATCAATTGCATGTCACAGAGATTCAGCAAATAGACAGTATGGAATTTACAGAGAGAGCCTGGGTGGACTCGAAAGGAGTTGACTCAAAAAATGTCTTTAAAACAAGCCACTATTGCTAACTGCGTGTTGGTAACTTTGATTTTAGTTGTGGAGTCATAAATTCTTTGCTTATTTAAGACTCCAAATACAGCGCTTAGGCTGTGCTACACTGTTGGAGGTACCATGCTTTGGATGAGACGTTAAACCAAGATCTCCCCTGCCTGTTTATGTGGATGGTACAGATGCCATGGCACTATTCAAAAAGAGAAGGGAGATTCTTCTGGTATCTTGGCCAACAATCTCCCAAATAAAATTGGTTATGGCTGTTGGTAGGACACTGCTGTGCACAAATTGGCTGCTGCGTTCAACCACAGATACACATAGTCACAACACTTCACAGTAGATCATGTGAAGCACTTAGGGACAATGTGATAAGGTGCAAAATCAAATAAGAGGATTATTTTTACTGCATATTATTAGTTTGGAAGCTATTTTTCCACAGCTCCTAAACGTGAAAAGCGCTATATCAAATGCAAGGATTATTATTATTATTATTATTCTCACTTTCAGAATAGCTCATGCAGTTTCTATGAAGTGTAGTGACTGTATTTGCAGGTGAACAAATCTTACATTTCAAGACCATCTTGACCTACAGGCTAAAACTGGGTGAAATTTCTGGCCTCAGAGTACTTACTACAGTACAATATAATGCATTTATTATTTCTACAGTAGAGTGTAGTGCGTGTTTGCATCTGCCAAGAGCACGGTTGCATCCCCACACTTGTGATTTGTTAGCAGACTTCCCAAAATATCATATTACCAAATATTTG